ACACACACACACACACACACACACACACACACACACACACACACACAATCCTACCAGACTGAGGAGGAGTTCAGCACATGTTCAGAAGGTTTATTTATTTTAATGGTTGGACAAACAGGTAACCCAAGCATGCAGCATCAATGAACCTTGTACACTAACTTTCCAGCACCACAGATATGGAGCACATCAAAAGCAAATATATGAGTGACATTAATAACTAACTGGAGCATTATCATTGTCGGATTTTAGAACCATCAGTAGTTCTCATCTCCAACATACTGGCCTCATTGTCCACCTGCAAAATGGACTCTGATAATACTGGCTTTTCCTTACCCTGACTTTTTAATTAAAATGTCTGTTCAAATCTATTTGTAAATGCTCCAAAAAAAGGTCTAGGCTTCTCTGAGAAGTAGTTTTGAAAATAACGAGGAGCTTGGTAATTCAATGCTAGTTAATTTGTATACAAACTTGAGCTTTGATAATATAGACAGAAGAGAGAGCTCAAAACAAAACAAAACAAAACAAAACAAAACAAAACAAAACAAAACAAGAGTGTCTTCCCGAGAAATCTTCTAGTTAGAAAGAAACCATCACGGAGTTTTCACAAACTATGAGGAATCTCACTGTGATCTTGATCTTCCTCTTTTTTTCTCTTACTTTCTGATTTACACATATCCAACTTGGAAAAGAAAGATGCAGGAATTGTAAGTATGGACAGATACAATTTACATTTTCTCTCCCAGTCAGGGAGCAGTCAAGATGCTTTTGGAGCATGAAAAGAAGACCATCTCACTGACCGAGGGACAAATTGATAGTTAAAGCCTTTTGACATGTTTGAGAAGAAAGCTTAAAGATTTTGGACAGAGACTTTCCTACTCTTTGAAGCACTATATGGTAATAGCCTTTTTTTCTAAATCAAAACAAGAAAAAATACAGTTGGTAAAACAGTGGTTAAAAACAACTTAAGTTGGGGCACATAGGTAGCTCATTTGGTTGAGTGACCGACCGACTCTTGGTTTCAGCACAGGTCATTATCT